GTTCACCTTTAGGTAGTTGTGTTGCCTCTCTTGCTCAGCCTTCAGGTACAGACGAGTCAGACGGCCCAGATTCTTCTTACACACAGTTTTGTCCACAGTTGCGCCACGGCGAATACGCTCTCTGTTGTAATGAGCAGTGTTTGTCCACCAATCAGCCTTTGCTTTCACATATCGGAGTATCATGTTTTCAATGGGCGTAGGAAGGCCTGGTACCTAAAAAAACAAAAACAAATTAAAACTTTAAAATAATGCACTTACACTGAAGATAAGACTTATGTTTAAGAATGAATTCTAATACAAGAAACAAAAAAAAAACCCACACTATTTCAAGCTAGTAAGATTCAGATTTAAGAAATATTATAGGATGCGGTTTTTCGGCTCTCACCTTCCAGGGAATGTTTGCTTTCCAGCATCTCCAGGCTTCACTCAAGTGCTGCAAGATGGTCCTAGCTTTGTTCTGCTTGATACCTTCTGGCATCATGTCCAAAATGTCATGCATGACAGCTGCTCTCAGCTCTAGATCAAAGTGAGACTCCACTCTCTGCTTGGTCACCGTTTTCGCAACCCCCTTGGAATGACGACCTGAGGGAGGACGAGAGTACAAACATAAGGACCCAGAACAAGTAAAATTCCTATAATACAAGTCCTGCTGCTGCAGTGAGATGCAAAAGATTACCAACCTTCAAACTGTCTAGCCAGCAGATTTCCAAGCCATCTCTCCAGCAATGGGGTTATGCCACGCATAAAGAAGAGCCAAACTCTCCAGCCAGCTGCCCAAAAGCCACAACCTGGTCCTTTTCCTACTGGACCCTAATTCAGGGCAAAAGGGAAAAAAAACAAAACTTACTTGCAGCCCTTAACACAGGAGTCAAAATGAATTCAAGCAAAAACTGCACTCACTGTATTGAACCTGTAGTAGATAAGGTGTTTCAAGTCCTTGCACATTCGAATCTGTCTCATGAGTTTGTACTTGTATCTGTACATGCCAGTCAGCTGGCCCACATGAGCAAAGATGTACTGGAGTCCATCAGACAACTTAAAAAAACCCACAAAAAACACACTAGTTAATTCATAAAGCCATATTACTCTATGAAGAGTTTATGCACATTTCAACCTTTACGAAATTTGTATTAACTTAGAACAGTGTTTATAAAAGACATCATAAAAAAAAAAATCCCAAAAGGTTAAACCCATTTATGTGGACAATTTGTCTACCTGGAAAGCATCCACGTTACCAAGCCTATACTGCACATGGCTATCCACCACCAGTTTAGTCAGACGAAGAACTTCTCGGCACAGATGGAAGGCATTGCCAAACCGAGACTTCTTACGTTCCTGTATGAAGAAATAGGAGAATGAGTAAATAAAAGAAATACAGCAGTCACTCAGCAGCTTGATAAGAAAAACACAATATGTTTATTATGACAAAGTGTAAACTAGAAACCTGTGCTAAAAAGAAACCTAGAAGCGGTCATTGCTGACTTCTTTCTAAAAACGCTGGTTACCTGGCAGTAATGCTCCTCTGATGTCAACACATTGTAAATCATGGGCCTGTAATAAGCATGGATCACAGCAAGTAAGGACTCGTACCCTGCATGCTTGTTACAGGTTAGTAGCCAAGTCAGCAAAGCCAAGCAACAGCAATGACAGCCTCCTTGCTCCTCCTAGCATAAGTGTGTTAACTGTTCAGTTTTCGTCACAACAAGCATGTTCTAAAATTGCCAGAATAGTACAAGGCAAGCTGAGAATTCTAGTTCTACAACAGCTGGAAAGCAATAGGTTGCCCACATATAAAGTATGTGCTGTCACAAACAAGTTGCTAAATTGAGGCACACAAATTCAACTCCAGCAATTGACATGATTGAGTATTCATTAAAGTCATCAATGCTTTCCCCTAACAGAGCTCAAACTGGGAGACTGGGGGGCAGGACTTGTACACTGCATCATATCATGATTAGCTTCATGTGCTGACTGCATGTGGAGCATGTACTGGAGCAAAAAGTGTGGTGACTGTAGTGGAACACCAGGATCTGGCTATCCTGTTTGGCAGATGTATGTATGGAATCACACGACCAACTTAAAAAAATCCTTTGTCAGAAAAAAACAATTCACAAAAGTGTACTGAACTATGCAATTGTTGGCTTGCCTTCAGTTAAAAAAAAAAAAAAAAAGGCAACGCCTGCTTCTTACTTTTTTACTATTACTTAAATCTTTAGATCTAAAGAATTTTAGCCTTAAACTAGAAAACCGTAGCTAGCTTGATGATGCCTTGTAAAGCCCACAGTTCATACATACGGAGGCTCAGATTGATAATTGTATGTAGTTATACCTTGGTGGTCAGTGTTTTCACAGGTTTCAGATTGAAATTGTAGTCCAAGTGAAGATAGTTCAAGTTCTTTCTGTGGATCAGCAAGTTCAGCATGTTGTAGCCCTGGCGACAAACCTGAAGTCCAACCTCGACCCAGTCCAGCTTAGTGGACTGGAAGAACTTGGTAGCTTTGAATGAGCGGAAGAGATACCTAGATAAACAAATAAGCCATTTAGATATTGGGGGAAGAAAAAAAACAAAAAACACACACCTTAAAAAAACCCAGACACCTATGGCAAATCACGTACCTCTTTTTCTGGGCCTTAGGTGGTCTATGTTTAAGAGCATTAAGGACATAGTATTTCAGTAGTTTCTGATAGGAGACACGAACTTTAACAGTCTGACCAGCTGGACAATGCTCCCGGTACCTATGACAAATCAGATGTGACTATTTAAGAAACACAACTACAAACTGTATTATTGTGTCTGAATGCCATGGCAAACACTTACCAGTTCTTTACCAGAGGAATGTCAACAGCCCTTCGTGTTCTGCCAGACCTCAGATTGAACGGGCGAGGCCCCCAAAGCAGGGCTATGCCATTGGCTGTGTTGTCTGAATATAGAGGAGTATCCTTGAGGAACGGTTCAACATATTCTGCTAACTCAAACTCTTCATCATCATCTGGCAAAGGCTCCTGACTCTAAAGAGGGTAAAATTACATTATGTTAAATCATACTAAACAAGAGTTCATTTAATAAGAATACACAAAGATCTTAAAACCCTTCTCTATGAATAAAGCCACAGTGTAGGTGTAAAACAGTGAATTACAATGTTGAAAATAAATGGCTCAAATATTTAGCAAGTAACTCATTTAAAAAATGAAATAAAAAAAAATGTTTAACATGATTTATTAGTTTCAGATTGGGCAAGAAAGGGTGTCCTTGTGTATTATGGATGAAAATCACATTGCAATTTAGGGAGGCAGTTATGCATAACCTTAGAACATTCCTAAGGGTGCACAAACTTTATCACAATTGAGTCAACATAAGACACTGCATTAAGATAAATTGTTCAAATCAGAACTGCAATGTTAATTGCAGTTCACTAAGCGAATCAATGATCCAATCTTTACTCAATTTCAAACATTACAATTGTAAGTTTTAATTAACGGATAAAAGGTAAGACATAATATAGCACTCACCTTTACAGAATGTCTGTGTGAAATGGGGTTGATCAGAGGATCAAAGTAAAAAGCTGGCAGATCAGGATCCTCTGTTTTAATGAAAACCACATTTGGCGTATGGTACCTGTAAGAATATGTAAAATTGTAATGAAATGGTAATCGAATCGCTATATATAGCAGTGTTATCACAAAATCTGCCCCATTCCTTACCATGTCAGATGTACATGATGAGGGAGATTGTTGTACAGATATGGAAATGCGATCTTGTACTCTGTGCGAATTGGCTGGCGAATAATGATTTTGTTAATGTCATTGAACTCATTCCAATCTTCGTCCCTAAAGAAAGAAAAAAAATAAGTGCCATCAGTGAATTAATTCAACAGACAACTGCTGGTAACAAAAATCGGAGTTAAGAGTATGTGTTTCAAACTTACTGCAAATTTATGTCGCGAACCAATGGCTCAAATTTTGGTCCGCCTGGAATTGCCATGTTTAAAGCCTTAGATGTGAAAAAAGCTTTCAAATCAAACAGGTAAAAGTAGTTGTCATCAACTAGATCTGTTAGGAGCTGATTGGCAAGTCGGTACAATGTAGACATCATGGGAAGTGTGAACTGCCAGCGTTGGTACGTTGTTCCATTCACATATCTACAAAGAGATCACAAAGCTTACATAAAAACATGGTTTAGACACAATTAAGTCATAATAAAACCATTGCAAAGAATAGGCCCCTTACTGCTGTGATCAGCACTGAATGGATGTCACTTTTGTGGCATCTGTGACTTTTCAGGTTTTTTTCCTCCATCTTGCAATGGGGGAAAAAAAATGAACTCAGCTGACCAAGGTTAGGTCTATGGGGATGTAAACTGACATGCGTTTGTGTACATCCTTTTACCTCTAACCTGTCACAATCAGGTCTGCAAAAATGAACTCTTTTCCATTTTTTGTTTTAATCTGAGGTAATCGGATTGAAACAGACGTACGCTGGCCTAACATTGCCTTTGTATCAGATCTGCCTGAAAAAACAGACAGGCGGATCTGATTGGATCCTTCGTGTGAAAGGAGCCTAAAGGTTTAGTTAAAGCTGAACTGCAGCCTTGCCTTCGGTCTGGCACCCGTGTACAGGCTCCTCTTATACTGAACTTGCTTACTCTGATTTTACTTTAACACTGAGCATTAATAGCTGCCCACAGTATGCATTAGATGCTGCAGCGAAGCAGATAGGGTCCACCTCTTAGGATATCCATCATCTAGCTCTTTCCTCCCCAGTCTTACTGTCCCACCAGTTTTTTCAATCTAGGAGGACCACCATCACATATGAGGGCGATATCACAGCTTTGTGTTGTCAGGTAGCTGTGTACATCACCAGCTGGCCCCTCCCACCAGCCATTTGCCTGCATTGCATAGAGCAAAGACCACACAGAGACCTAGTGGCAATATAACAATAAGGGAAGTAATGAGAACACAAGGTTTTATTTGATATTTTCATTGGCATATTGAAGGGGGAAGGAGGAACCTGGGAAAGCAAAAAATATAAAAAGTGCAGGAAATCTTACTTTCTGTTGTCTCTAAGTGGCTGGTGATCATAGAACCAGTCCATGACTGGAGCATCTTCTTCATTGTCCAACTCCAACTGAATAGCCTCCAGGGGCTCCACATCAAGAATGTTATCAGCATAATCCAGAGGTGGTTCTTCATCATCAAAGGGAGGGAACCTCATGCGTTTGAAATGACGTCTGTCTCTCTTTTCTCTCCTCATCATGATCCACATTGACCTGTATGGAGAGTTGAATTTGGTTAAAACAGGCTAAAGTAGGGAGTCATCAGGGCTGCAACTAACGATTATTTTCATAAATAGGTTAGTTCGCCGATTTAAGGATATTCAGAGGATATTACTAGACACACTGCACCACCGCTTTCCTTTGCGCGGCTCCGTGTGCAGTGTGTCACGGGCTTCACAGTCTTTAGGGCCGGTTCACACTATGTTCAGTGCATTCCGGCAAAGTTAGTGGCCGGAACGCACTGGATCACATAGTGGAAGCCTCCTTGCGTTCTGAGGCGGGAGTCACTGACTCCTCACTGCACACACAAAGCACACACTACTTCCATTGGTTGTACATTTCTATTCAGCCTAGCCACGGTCCACTATGAGCAGCCCGGGGAAGAGGCCAAGACATGGGGGAGGCTGAGGGTCCCCGAAAGGTCAGTCTGCGCTCACCAGGACTCTGGGTGATGCCGAGAAGAGGAGGTGACTGAGTCATGGGGGAGGCAAATAGTGTTACAGTGTATGTATACACAAAACATTTTTTTTTTTCGTTTTGGATAGAGTAAGAAAGGTTTAAAAACTGCCAGTTTATTATTTGCCGTTTGTGTACCACTGGGGAAGACGCAACAGAAAGTTAGGGAAATATCCCAAAGGGAGGGGAATCCCCCTCAGGTAGATGTCCCTGGGATAAGTATCCCCATTGGAAGATTTCTCCTTTATTTTGGGGACAACTTGAAAATTCTGGATTTCCAGTTACTTTGTGTCTCAGTGGTGGTGAATCTTCCCAATAGAAAGAAGGTTTTGTCTAGGAATACATTGCAAGTTGTGGGTTGCCTTCAGTTAAAAAAAAAAAAAAGGCCACGCATGCTTCTTACTATTACTTAAATCTTTAGATCTAAAGAATTTTAGCCTTAAACTAGAAAACCGTAGCTAGCTTGATGATGCCTTGTAAAGCCCACAGTTCATACATACGGAGGCTCAGATTGATAATTGTATGTAGTTATACCTTGGTGGTCAGTGTTTTCACAGGTTTCAGATTGAAATTGTAGTCCAAGTGAAGATAGTTCAAGTTCTTTCTGTGGATCAGCAAGTTCAGCATGTTGTAGCCCTGGCGACAAACCTGAAGTCCAACCTCGACCCAGTCCAGCTTAGTGGACTGGAAGAACTTGGTAGCTTTGAATGAGCGGAAGAGATACCTAGATAAACAAATAAGCCATTTAGATATTGGGGGAAGAAAAAAAACAAAAAACACACACCTTAAAAAAACCCAGACACCTATGGCAAATCACGTACCTCTTTTTCTGGGCCTTAGGTGGTCTATGTTTAAGAGCATTAAGGACATAGTATTTCAGTAGTTTCTGATAGGAGACACGAACTTTAACAGGCTGACCAGCTGGACAATGCTCCCGGTACCTATGACAAATCAGATGTGACTATTTAAGAAACACAACTACAAACTGTATTATTGTGTCTGAATGCCATGGCAAACACTTACCAGTTCTTTACCAGAGGAATGTCAACAGCCCTTCGTGTTCTGCCAGACCTCAGATTGAACGGGCGAGGCCCCCAAAGCAGGGCTATGCCATTGGCTGTGTTGTCTGAATATAGAGGAGTATCCTTGAGGAACGGTTCAACATATTCTGCTAACTCAAACTCTTCATCATCATCTGGCAAAGGCTCCTGACTCTAAAGAGGGTAAAATTACATTATGTTAAATCATACTAAACAAGAGTTCATTTAATAAGAATACACAAAGATCTTAAAACCCTTCTCTATGAATAAAGCCACAGTGTAGGTGTAAAACAGTGAATTACAATGTTGAAAATAAATGGCTCAAATATTTAGCAAGTAACTCATTTAAAAAATGAAATAAAAAAAAATGTTTAACATGATTTATTAGTTTCAGATTGGGCAAGAAAGGGTGTCCTTGTGTATTATGGATGAAAATCACATTGCAATTTAGGGAGGCAGTTATGCATAACCTTAGAACATTCCTAAGGGTGCACAAACTTTATCACAATTGAGTCAACATAAGACACTGCATTAAGATAAATTGTTCAAATCAGAACTGCAATGTTAATTGCAGTTCACTAAGCGAATCAATGATCCAATCTTTACTCAATTTCAAACATTACAATTGTAAGTTTTAATTAACGGATAAAAGGTAAGACATAATATAGCACTCACCTTTACAGAATGTCTGTGTGAAATGGGGTTGATCAGAGGATCAAAGTAAAAAGCTGGCAGATCAGGATCCTCTGTTTTAATGAAAACCACATTTGGCGTATGGTACCTGTAAGAATATGTAAAATTGTAATGAAATGGTAATCGAATCGCTATATATAGCAGTGTTATCACAAAATCTGCCCCATTCCTTACCATGTCAGATGTACATGATGAGGGAGATTGTTGTACAGATATGGAAATGCGATCTTGTACTCTGTGCGAATTGGCTGGCGAATAATGATTTTGTTAATGTCATTGAACTCATTCCAATCTTCGTCCCTAAAGAAAGAAAAAAAATAAGTGCCATCAGTGAATTAATTCAACAGACAACTGCTGGTAACAAAAATCGGAGTTAAGAGTATGTGTTTCAAACTTACTGCAAATTTATGTCGCGAACCAATGGCTCAAATTTTGGTCCGCCTGGAATTGCCATGTTTAAAGCCTTAGATGTGAAAAAAGCTTTCAAATCAAACAGGTAAAAGTAGTTGTCATCAACTAGATCTGTTAGGAGCTGATTGGCAAGTCGGTACAATGTAGACATCATGGGAAGTGTGAACTGCCAGCGTTGGTACGTTGTTCCATTCACATATCTACAAAGAGATCACAAAGCTTACATAAAAACATGGTTTAGACACAATTAAGTCATAATAAAACCATTGCAAAGAATAGGCCCCTTACTGCTGTGATCAGCACTGAATGGATGTCACTTTTGTGGCATCTGTGACTTTTCAGGTTTTTTTCCTCCATCTTGCAATGGGGGAAAAAAAATGAACTCAGCTGACCAAGGTTAGGTCTATGGGGATGTAAACTGACATGCGTTTGTGTACATCCTTTTACCTCTAACCTGTCACAATCAGGTCTGCAAAAATGAACTCTTTTCCATTTTTTGTTTTAATCTGAGGTAATCGGATTGAAACAGACGTACGCTGGCCTAACATTGCCTTTGTATCAGATCTGCCTGAAAAAACAGACAGGCGGATCTGATTGGATCCTTCGTGTGAAAGGAGCCTAAAGGTTTAGTTAAAGCTGAACTGCAGCCTTGCCTTCGGTCTGGCACCCGTGTACAGGCTCCTCTTATACTGAACTTGCTTACTCTGATTTTACTTTAACACTGAGCATTAATAGCTGCCCACAGTATGCATTAGATGCTGCAGCGAAGCAGATAGGGTCCACCTCTTAGGATATCCATCATCTAGCTCTTTCCTCCCCAGTCTTACTGTCCCACCAGTTTTTTCAATCTAGGAGGACCACCATCACATATGAGGGCGATATCACAGCTTTGTGTTGTCAGGTAGCTGTGTACATCACCAGCTGGCCCCTCCCACCAGCCATTTGCCTGCATTGCATAGAGCAAAGACCACACAGAGACCTAGTGGCAATATAACAATAAGGGAAGTAATGAGAACACAAGGTTTTATTTGATATTTTCATTGGCATATTGAAGGGGGAAGGAGGAACCTGGGAAAGCAAAAAATATAAAAAGTGCAGGAAATCTTACTTTCTGTTGTCTCTAAGTGGCTGGTGATCATAGAACCAGTCCATGACTGGAGCATCTTCTTCATTGTCCAACTCCAACTGAATAGCCTCCAGGGGCTCCACATCAAGAATGTTATCAGCATAATCCAGAGGTGGTTCTTCATCATCAAAGGGAGGGAACCTCATGCGTTTGAAATGACGTCTGTCTCTCTTTTCTCTCCTCATCATGATCCACATTGACCTGTATGGAGAGTTGAATTTGGTTAAAACAGGCTAAAGTAGGGAGTCATCAGGGCTGCAACTAACGATTATTTTCATAAATAGGTTAGTTCGCCGATTTAAGGATATTCAGAGGATATTACTAGACACACTGCACCACCGCTTTCCTTTGCGCGGCTCCGTGTGCAGTGTGTCACGGGCTTCACAGTCTTTAGGGCCGGTTCACACTATGTTCAGTGCATTCCGGCAAAGTTAGTGGCCGGAACGCACTGGATCACATAGTGGAAGCCTCCTTGCGTTCTGAGGCGGGAGTCACTGACTCCTCACTGCACACACAAAGCACACACTACTTCCATTGGTTGTACATTTCTATTCAGCCTAGCCACGGTCCACTATGAGCAGCCCGGGGAAGAGGCCAAGACATGGGGGAGGCTGAGGGTCCCCGAAAGGTCAGTCTGCGCTCACCAGGACTCTGGGTGATGCCGAGAAGAGGAGGTGACTGAGTCATGGGGGAGGCAAATAGTGTTACAGTGTATGTATACACAAAACATTTTTTTTTTTCGTTTTGGATAGAGTAAGAAAGGTTTAAAAACTGCCAGTTTATTATTTGCCGTTTGTGTACCACTGGGGAAGACGCAACAGAAAGTTAGGGAAATATCCCAAAGGGAGGGGAATCCCCCTCAGGTAGATGTCCCTGGGATAAGTATCCCCATTGGAAGATTTCTCCTTTATTTTGGGGACAACTTGAAAATTCTGGATTTCCAGTTACTTTGTGTCTCAGTGGTGGTGAATCTTCCCAATAGAAAGAAGGTTTTGTCTAGGAATACACTTTGAA